TGATCTGCCTCACCCGGGAAGAGCGCAACGATGGCTCAGCTGAAAAAAAAAAAAAAAAAAAAAGAATAGGCAACAAAAAGCAAAAACAAACAAGTGGTACTACATCAAACTAAAAAAACCATCAACAAAATGAAAGCGCAGCCTAACGAATACAAGAAAATATTTGCAGATCGTATATCTGATAATGGATTAATATCCAAAATATATAAAGAACTCCTACAACTCAATAGAAAAAAATCCAATTAAAAAAAGGGCAGAGGATCTGAACAGAGACATTTTCCCAAAGAAGACATACAAATGGCCAACATAAAAAGATGCTCCACATCACTGATCATCAGGGAAATGAAAATCATAACCACAGTGAGGCATCAAACCTGTTAGACTGGCAATTATCAAGAAGACAAGAAATAAATGTTGGAGAAGATGTGGAGAAAAGGAAACCGTCATGATGGGAATGTAAACTGGTGTAGCCACTGTGGAAAACAGTATGGAGGTTCCTCAAAAAATTAAAAATAGACTACCAATGATCCAACAATTCCGCTGCTTGGTAAAGTAGTCCCCTCTTAGCTCTAGTTTCATTTTCTATGGTTTCAGTTACCCAAAGTCACCCTCAGTCTGAAAATATTACATGGAAAATTCCAGAAGTAATTCCTAAGTTTAACTCAGCACACCGTTGTGAGTGGCGTGGTAAAAATCTTGCAGCGCCCCACTCCATTCCAGGAATCATCCCTTTGTCCAGCGTATCCAACACTGTATCCGTTACCTGCCTGCTTAGTCACTCAGTAACCATCTTGGTTATCAGATTGAGTGTCATGCTATGGCAGTGCTTGTGTTCAAGTTACCCTTACTTTACTTAATTAATGGCCCCAAAGCACTGGATCAGTGATGCCGGCAAGTGTTATGTATACATAGGAAAAAACAGCATATATAGGGTTCGGTACTATCCACAGTTTCAGGCATCCACTGGAGGTCTTAGAATATAACCCCCTCAGGTAAGGGGGGACTACTGACTGTATTTCTCAGAAGTAGTCAAAATACTCTCGAAAAGATATCTGCAACCCCACGTTCACTGCATTGTTTACAACAGCCAAGACACGGAAGCAACCTACGTGCCTACCAATGGGTGAATGAATAAAGAAAATGTAATATTGGGTTGTCAGAAAAGTCATGATGTATTTTTTTCTACGTTTTTTCCTTGAAAAAATGTTTCATGACTTTTGCGACAACCCAATACATATACACAAGGGAATATTATTCAGCCACAAAAGAGAATCCTGCCATTTGCAACATGGACGGACCTTGAGGGCATTATGCTAAGTGAATTAAGTCAGACAGAAAAAGACAAATAACTATGATTTCACTTATATATGGAACCTAGAAAACCCGCAACCTCACAGAGAACAAATTGGTGGCTGCTAGAGGCAGGGGTGGGGGATGAATGAAAAGGGGGAAGGTGAGGGAAAACAATATTCGGTGTGACACACCATCATACCATCCTTGCACAGGGGCCATGTGAATCCTTTGTGTATCGTTCTGTTTTAACCTATGTGCTGCTGAAGCAAACATGCCAACACATCATTGTAAAGACACACCTGCTATGGGACAGTCTCAGAGATGAGGGGAGGGTCCTACAGCTGCCAGTGCAGACAGGCCCCACCATAATACTGTCACCTCTGTGTAAAAAGGGCCTTGCATGCTTTGCTAATTTATTTGTACACTGTTTGAGTCTCTTTATTACCAGAATGTTAGAGAATTAAAATAAGGAAAAGACAATAAATATTTGTCCTTTCTCAATTATCCACTAAGGACTTCCTTCAGGAAAGCCGTTTCTGGGTCGTCTGAGGACAATAAGCTGTGCCCACTTAGGCAGCGCAGCGCAGTCACTCCTGGCTCAAGTCTCTTCCTTGAACCCCAACCAAACTCACCATCTCCACCTGGATGTCCCTTAGTCACCTCAAACCGAGTATGGCCAGAGCCAAATTCTACTCCCCACGTTCTCCTCACTCCAATACACTGCTCCTAGCCTTCCCCAACCTGTGGAAGCAGCCACTCCAGGCCAGAAACCAAGAGGCCAGCTCCCTTCTCCTTTGCATGCCCACAACTGTCTAAACTGTCTACTAGCAATTCCTATCAGCTCTACCCCAGAACACTCCCAGAACCCCCGCTACCCTGATTCACACTGTCACCTCCTCCCCCCAGGCTCTCCCAGCTGGCTCCTCGCTGTTCTTGGAGCTTCCACCCCCACCACCTGTACTTACTCATATAACAGGGCAGCAGGCCCTGCCTCTCCTCCGCTGGCCCCACATCACTCAGGTCAGTGTTAAAGGGTTCCAAGGGCCCCAAGGCCCCTCCCGCATGGATTTCCCCATAGCAGGGCACAGCAATGTGACAAAGCACGCTCGTGCCTGTCCTCTCTGCTGAGTGCTAATCCACAGAGCCAGGTGCAGCAGGGTGCTCCCCCTCTTCTACTCTTTAGCACCTTGGGGGAGCTACACCTTTCCAGGTAAGAATTAGGTCATCACAGATGCTCGTGCACAGTTGTGCACACACACAGGTCCTCCTAGGCCAGCCAAGACCTCGCTCCACTGAACATGCTGCACATGTGCTTATTTTCTTTAACGGGCAAGTAAATACTCAACAGACTTCAACTGCTGTAAATACCACTGCGATGAAAGGTGCAGGGGTTTCCTCGGGGGCGTGTGCTGCGCTGGGCTCACCTCCTGCTTAGCCATTCCTCTCGCTCCCTCTCTTCTCTCCTCCTCAAGCGATCCAGATTTCTCTTCTCCTGCTTTTCAGCCACAGTTTTCTAAATAAATGAAAAATTGGAAAATGAGAAAAGAGTAATTTACACAAACTAGAGTGTCAATATTTGACAAAACACGTTTGGATGACCTCAGCATGGGTGATTTAAAAATCTAAGAGAAACTCTTATAAAAAAACAAAACAGGAACTTGATCATTTAAAAACTTCTTAAACAATGAAAAGTGGAAAACGTGAAAAAAAACAGCTTTATCATTACATTTTATAAATTCAGTGACAAACTGCATATCCTAAGAGGTGCTGTACTTCTAAGTCATGGAAAGTTTATTATGTTGCTTCAAACCAATCCAGAAAGGTAGTTTTTATCCAAAGGAGAATCCACAAACTTTATGGTGAAAGAGAATACGTGTGTCTGACTGAACACATCCTGCTGCTGGGAACCAAGCGCCTGCTGCCAAGGAGCAGCCCATCTCCGGGTGCAGAGGGCTGCACAAGCTTTAGACTGGCCTCCTGGCAACAGCAGGCCAGGGGAGGTGGACCATGAACCCTCCACAACCCCACGCTTAACACATGGCTCATGGGGTTTGTGAACACAACAGGCAGGAGAAAGCCTTGAGAAATCATACTCCTGGAACACAAGTAACAGAGTTTAGCCCAAAACACTAGGTCCAATTTGCACACCCCCAACATCAACTCAAAGTCTTTCAATGCCCTCATCTCTATGCCCAGTAGGGAAGTCAGTCAGAGCCCGTGAGATAAGGGGTCATCATCAGTCTTCTCGTGTCCATGGAGGAACCCAGAAAAAAGACCTTAAACCCCGGTGTGGACTGGAGCCAGGCCCCAGGAAGAGAAGGCATGGCAAGGGCTGGGAGAGAGGCTGGCTCTCTCCCCAGAGCACTCTCCAGGTACAAGAGCCTTCCTGTCTGGCACCTTCAGCTCTACCCTGTAGTTCCACTCTGCCCACGCCTAGTGCAGGCACATGCAATGCAGATTATGGTTCATGATGGCAGTCTCAGCACTTCCACTTCCATGCACTTTTCTAAGATAAATCTGACTGCGAACACACCTGTGGTCTGGCATCATTTCCTTTCCAAACCCTTCCCACTCCCCCAAAACTACTCTCCCACCTGCGTTTACTTTGGTGTGTGGCCGTAAGGTGTGAACATCCCTGGGACCACTGTGAGGGAAGACATCTCTGATGAAGCTACTCCCGCCCCCACCTTTATCATTAAGACATGTACTTTCAAATACATTTTCTGTTGTTAGTTTAATAGCTATTTATCAAAATCTGTACTACATCTGTGTGGGTCAACTACATACTGCTTTATAAATGCAAATATAAAACATGCTTCCTAGATCAAGTTAGTGATTAAGTTTTCAAAGTTTCAGGGAAAATTTTTTTCAATATATTCACATTTCTGATGCACAGATTCATGTTTTTTAAAAAAAGGTTTTCAGGTATAAAAAATATCAGGACAGGGCCTGGTTAAGAGTTGGCTTGGAATGCCACCTCTAAGCAACAGGGCCCCGGTTCAGATCCCACATGAGGCCAGTGACACTGCGTCCTCTACAGCTAAGATGGTGAACAACAGCTCAACCTGGAGCTGGGCTGCTGTGAGTCACCGTGAGCGACTGTCCAATGGCTGGCGACCGATCTGCCTCACCCAGGAAAAGTGCAATGATAGTACCAACATGGGCCAGTGAAGCAACATCCTCCACAACTAGACTGAAAAACAAAAGGACAGAAACTTCTCTGTTCCCTTCCCCCAAGCCCCCAATAAAAATTTTTTTTAAATCTAAAAATAAACAAACAAATAAATAAATAAATAAACATCAGGACAAAACCATGGGGTGATATGGAATGGAAACACAATTTAAAGGAGAAATAGGCATGAGCCATTACCCACTGCTAAGGAGATATTTTTAATAAGGATGGCAGTGGACATATTATTATTGATGTTCTACTGACTATATAGAAAGTATTTTTACATCTTTGATACCCATAAAAAATTCCGACTTAAAAATGTGTGACAAAGTATATCATTTTTCAAAATTCTATCAGAAGCACAGGAGCAAAATATGTCAAGACGAAGGGCTGAGAACAGCCTCACTGCCAGCCCAGGTTCCTCTCCTGGTGCCGAGACCACACATCACCTACTGGGGACTCTTCCTTGCAAGGGTGCAGAGCCCTGCCACCTTCCGCTCCTTCCTGGGGGACACACAGGAGCCTCAGCCTTTTTTTTTCTTTTTAAGATTTTATTGGGGAGTTGGGGGAGGGGGACAGCACTGGGGAATCGGGGGAAGGGGAACAGACAAGTTGCTGTCCTTTTGTTCTTCAGTCTAGTTGTGGAGGATGTCGCTTCACTGGCCCATGTTGGTATTATCATTGCGCTCTTCCCGGCTAAGGCAGATCTGTCGCCAGCCTCTGGATGGCCGCTCACAGCGGCTCTTGGCAGCTCATACCGGCTGCTGGCCGCTCACGGTAGCTTATGGCAGCCCACTGCAGCAGGGGCTGCAGTCTACACCATCGCCGGTGACTCATGGCACCCCAGTTCCAGGTCGAGCTGCTGCTCACCATCTTAGCTATAGAGGGTGCAGTGTCACTGGCCCTCATGTGGGATCCGAACCAGGGCCCTGCTGCTCAGAGCTGGTGTCCCAAGCCAGCTCTTAAGCAACGCGCCACTTGGCCAGCCCCACAGGAGCTTCAGCCTTGATTATCATGGTGTCCTATATACAGTCAGGTGCCACGTGGCTGTCCTCCCACCAGACTTCAGGTGTCTGGAGGAAGGCCCACACATTTCCCAGTGTCCCAGCCTCAGCACACAGCAGGGAAGACTCCGTCAGTTTAAAGAACAATTCTAAGTATCTGAAACATGTTCACCTTCCTTCGTAGAGTTCCATACCCAAGATGTCAAACGTTTTATAACTTAACCCAGGAAATTGAGAAGCCTTGAGGAAGGGACAGCGGGGCAGCTGAGGAGCAGGGCTATCAGGAAACCTCCATCCCCTCTCGTCCCGAGGAGGCTCACAGCCAGGGCCAGATGTGTGATCGCCCGTCCGGCCGAAGCACTCTCCATGTACCAGCCTCTGTCCAAGGAGGAAAACTAGAAACTGCTGGTTCTTGCCTGTCTCCCAACAGAAGTAATTTTGGAGATGTGCACGAGCTGCCTGGAAGCTGTACTGGACCCTGTCATTATCTTCGTAAACAAGGGGTTGCAGACTAAGTAAATACCCAAGGCCCCTCAGGTGTCTTGTGTGAACGAAGTGCTGAAACTGAGGATTTCACTATAAAACTCAAAGGCATGTTCTTAGAGAGGATCAGAGCACAAAGTTTTCTATTGGGTTGTCGGAAAAGTCATGACACATTTTTTCAACAAAAAAACAGAAAAAATACGTCATGACTTTTCCGACAACCCAATAGAAGGAAAGAAATGTGAGGACAATCACGAGACTTCTCAGGTTTCTCAAGAAATACAGTCCATGAACATACCCTCAACTGATCAAGCTTCTCACGGATCTGAATGAACCCCAAGTGCAACTTGCCCCCGAAATGGTCTGCGAGGCGACGGTCATTGTCGTGGAGTCCAAGGTAGGCTGAGCAGACTTCACAGACACGCAACTTCTGCTGCTGAAAACTGGACGCAGGCATGGAATTTCTGTATTCTTCCTGGAGAGAGGGAAAAGTGATGAAAGTGAGGTACACAGGACTGCCACTAAATAGTCAATATGCCAAAAGGAGATAGGAATCTGAAGGGACTATAGGTGTGACTTATAAATAAATAAAAACTAGGTCATTTACAAAGCTTCAGATATAGGTACCCAATTCAATTTCATCTTTTTCTTAAGAAATGAAATAACAGTCATAATTTCAAAGCAACAAGGAACATTCAAAACACTATATAAAGCAGGACGCTGCCTGTTTTCAGAGACCAGCAGGGAAGGTAAGTCTGACACACATGCTGGGGAGCCCTATTGAGACCAGTGGGGCAAGGACTCTTCACCAGGGGCCTTCAAGAAACCAACACCAAACCAAACGAATTAAGCAAGGAACACAAGTGCCATCCACAGGATGTGTGTCTAGGAAACTGTATCCCAATGCAGCCCCAAAAGATAAAATGTGGAAGGACAAATATGAGTACATTAAACTCTCTCTTCAAAAAAGAAAGTGCGCACAACAAAACGGAACAAAACACTCCCCTCCTGCAGTCCCTACAGTTGGAGTCCAACCACAACAAGTCACTCACTCAGCCTCAAAACACAGGAGATACAAGAGTAAACCAGGAC